ACATTTGTCTAATTTTGCAAAGGCTCACGATATTTATTTAATGGGTCGACAAAAAAAAACAAAAAAACAATAAATCCCACAAAGGTGACTGACACACTGTTGAAGAAACTGTGGATCAATAGCATGTTATGTCCATGACCCCCCCTCCTCTGTGGCTTTCTGATGGCTTACACATTTTTACTTTCATTTCGTTTTCTTTTTCTTTTTCCGGGTGTGAAGGAAGGAGGGAGGGAGGGAGGGAGCTGGTCTTACAAAGTGTTAGAGTCTTAAAAAAACGATGTGAGTTTATTTGCATGTTTGCTATGTGTCTACGCTGTGCTTTCAAGCTCAATTAATACTTCCAACTCACCCCTTTATAAATTCGTTGCATTGTTCTATGCCCTAGAGTAAAAAAAAAAAGAAAAAAGGACGAATTAAATACAATTTGTGTGGTCTTTGTTTCTAGCCATGTACTGCAGTTGCTTCGAACATCCTGAAAAAAACAGTATGTAATAAGCTTTTCTTTCCCCTCTCAGAAGATCATGTTTAAGCCTATAGCTTTCATATGAACCTCTATTTTGTCCCATAGAATATGGAATGATCGGAGAGCATACAGTAAAAAGTCAGCGGCCAAGATCAGTTCATGACACAAAGGCCCTGCAGGAGCAAGCTGAATCTGCTAAATTTATGGCACAAACTGGTAATACAATAGTTCTGTTTCTTTACTTTATCTTGTTAACTAAACTTAATTTCATCATGCATGCTCTCTCTTGTACTGCACCTTTTTAAGTGGAAATGTTTTGCATTCTTTTTTCTTACTCATTCTCTATTTCTACATATGAACTAGGACGATAAATTTCCCATTTCTTTATGAGTATTTACTTTGACTATAGGACTTAATTGGGTTTTGTGGGTCTGTTTGTTTTCTTTTTTGTCACATAATGAGTTGGCAACATGGTAAATTCATAGAGCATTAATTAAACAGTAGGTTTAAAAGTAAGGCCCTGATGTAGTTAATAGTTTCCTCCAAGGCGAGATGAATTAAATGTCATTTGAGGAAAAAAAAGAAAAATACCCACCCCCTTCAGCCAAATATGAAACACATACTTGGCAAAAGTTGAACTGATGGATTCTGCCCTTAGAGATAAAATGAAGCTATGTGGCTTAATCAAGTGTAGCATAAAAAGCTGAAATGATTTAAATTCAAAATGACATTTACAGTTTGTAAAAGTTTTGAAAGAAGTGAGAGTAATATTAAAGCAGCTTGATTTTGCTCTTTTTTTTGATCTAGTTACTTTTTTTAAACTACCTGTTTCTTAGTGGGTGGGTTTAGATTTAGCTGCTGTTGAGAACCTCTTCATTTTGATTTGATTAATTTCTGGGAAATGTTTTAATTTTTTTCATGTGTTCCATTTGAATTGCTGTCATTGTTGAAAAGAATATCCTTTCATTATCATTTTATTTTGCGACACACCATACTTACTGTACTTATCGTGCATACATACCAATACTAACATATGGTCATTAACACCTCCCCATTTTACACACGCTGTAGGTATGTGGTTTCCCTGTCCAGTCACATCGTGCTTTTCTGTTCCTCATCCTCACACAATTTACTCTCCCTGTACTGCCTCATTTAACAAATTGATCCACCTTTCAGTCTATTTTATGATCTGCAAAATTAAGCGCGGGGTTGTAGATCCCCATTTGGCCAAATCTGTGTCCCTGATGCAACATGCTGAGAAAACTACTTTCAAGCATATTGTGCTTGAAAAAAAACACAATTCAAATGTGATTTGATGACTTTAAATAACATAAATGTATTCAGAGCTGCAACGAGACTATTTTTCTCTGTAATAAATTATTCCTCTAAGTCACAAAGCCTCAAAGAGAATGAATACTTCACCTGAGGGTTCATCGTAATCAAACAGCAATTATTTGGTGACTACTCTGATGTAGGGATTTGATTGTCCACTAACTTGTCACCAAATAATTTATTCTTTTTTTTTAAAGCTACCATGACTTTGGAAATCACCCCCCTGTCTCACCATAATATATATATTAAATGTTAAAGCTACATTTAGCCTTTTCTCGCTTTTTTAAATCTTTTTTGGACCATGAAGACTGAAACGCTCAGTGCCGTTTCTTCTTTTTAATCTTTTTATATTGAGCTCAAAAGATACGAACAGCCATCTTCCTCACTAACTGCTACCAATTGCTTCATACAATTATCTAATGACAATATGTCTGCACGCAGAGTATAACTACTTCAAAGTCTGCTTGCCAGAAATTTCCGTCTGGGCTCAAAGGCCTGAAACTGAATACATTTTCATCTGGTGGCTTAAATGCTTCCTGTTGCGTTTCCTTCAGGGAACTCACAGTTGAAATTTGAATATGGTGGAAACAGTCTGCTCCGAGCCACACTGACACACCTGCTGAGTAAAATCTGCTAACTTCCCCATTTATTTCCTCCATCATCTATGAGTAAACTGGTTAAGATGGATTTGAATATGATTTGAAACCTTCGTCTTAAAAATATAGGATTCGCTCCGCTGTCGTCAAGGAAACTAGACAGTTTGCAGCAGTGCAAAGGGAATCCATATCTCTGAACTCTCTCTCTGAACTAACACCCATTACAATCCATTTTATTTTCTCAGATGTTGTCTTCTCTTGCATGCCACCATTTTATTATGAATTTATTTTTGTTTGTGCTGATTTTCTCGCTTTGTTTAAACATGTTATTGGGTTTCATTGAAATGCATGACGTATTTCTTTTAAAGATGAATTGAAACAGTTAGATGTAACAATGTCTACTGTTTATTCTTATATAATCACAGCTTCGGCTTTTTTGTGATCTTTGCATAAATACACATTTGATCTCATCTGCATTATTAAGACCACTGATAAAGCAACTACTCTGTTGTTGCAGACACAAAAAAAACATTTATTGTGCTGATACAAAAGTAAAGAGAGGAACTAAGCTTCCGACTCAGTATTTATCAAAGATCACATAAAGGTAGCACAGAATGTACAATAGTGTTCTTGTAAAATAAATCTCAAAGGCCCCCCCACCTCACCCCAACGTGACTCATGTTGGCCCCCTCCCATTCTACTCAACCCCCTGCCCACCTTGCCCCACCCGCCCTGTTATTAGCCCTGCCCCCAGGACCGTATTGCTGCATTTAACTAGTGTCACCCTTCTCCCACACAGGTGAATCAGGTGCAGAGGAGTGGTCCCAGTGGAGCTCATGCTCTGTAACATGCGGTCAAGGGTCGCAGGTGCGAACAAGAACATGTGTCTCACCATACGGAACTCACTGCATCGGCCCTTTAAGAGAATCAAGGGTTTGCAATAACACTGCCCCTTGTCCAGGTAGTGTTAGCCGCAGATTCTTGAATATTCATGTCTTGCTGTTGTTTATATGGGAGGAAATGTGTTGCTATGTATTAACAAAAAATTTAATGTGTCTATTTAAGAATGTATTATAATCGTTATTGTAGCATTATACTAAATCTGATGATTTCTTTTTGAATGTTATTTTGTGAATGTGTTTTTTGTCATAATCACGTTTGTGTTTTCCATTTCATATAACTGTTGGGCAATTCATCAGCATTGAAATGGTTTAATGACATGTGGTTGTGCACGGAGCTCAGGGAGCCGCAGATACTGATATGTCATCTGCTTTATTTCTTGAAGGTCAGCTGTGCATTTTAAAATAGCTTGACAGCGTCTCTTCACACACGCTGTAAGGCATTTTCTTCCTCAACCCATAAGGGCATGGCAGATGAGTCACTGGTAGTCAGGTATCAGCATCACATGCTTTTCTGACGGGTGACTGCAGAGCGCTAATGTTTGTCTGTGCGCATCTGGGAGGACAAGCGAGTTGTTTTCCGAGCAGAGTCGCCATTATGCTATTTTTTGGGGGGGGGGCTGCTCACACACACAAACATGCAGATTTAATAATGAGACCCTGAACTCTGTGTTCAGTCGAGATATTTGATGGCACTGTTGAGCGTAATGCTTCAGAGACTGCACCACAGACTCCTTAATAATTATGGCTGATCAAAAATTCTGCAAGCTCCATCTTCTGACATTCTGATCTTGGATGTACTGCGCTTCATTTTTTTTTTCCGAGATGCGGCACATGTAAATGGGAAGTTGGCAGTTTTCGAAAGGGTTTTTCTCCTACGCTGCGTGGACACTAAAAAGCGAAAAAGAGTCATTTAGAAAGGAAAGTTGCCTAAATACCACCAGTCATCTCTCTGGCCATTAATATTTAGCTCAGACAGCGTTAAAGCTCCTATATCCCTATTAGAGGTATGTGCATTCATTTGCATAAAGAATTATTAGAACTTTAGCATCTGAACTTGCAGAGCTGTCCATGTGAATTCATTATTGCCTTTGATTTATCTGAGGACCTGCAAACATTAGGCCTTTACTTGGCTAATTGTGGATCTGGAACTTTCTTTCACATAATAAAGCAGTAGTCGTTATCACCAAATAACTGGGCCATAAAACTCTGAGAAACCTCTAAGGCAATTTTGACAAGAGTTAGACTGTGATAGGACTTTTCTCTTTTTTTAGAGGAAATAAGAGAGGGGGGCATAAAGATAAAAGTCTTTTTAATTTTTAAATGTCACTATTCTTAATTTATTGTATTGTTTCATGGGTTTTAAGCTAGACCATATCCAATGTACTGTGGTCCTGCAGTGTCGATAAATTACATTGCCTGTAATATCTGAAATACCAGGGTGTTTCTCCTCACTTACTTATATTAAAACCCTAGCACTGGGCTCATAGAGCTAATATAGCACCAACCATACATAGTTACAGTTGCAAACCGCTACAACCTGCCCACATCCACATGAAACGCAGAGTCTATATCCAATATTCTGAAAGGCAGATGGATCAATCTGCTTTCTTCAAGAAAGTCTGCAGTCTGCCAAGAAGTGAGGACGTCTCCGAAATAGAGCAAGTTTTAAATGAAAGACACATCGCTGCAGTCTTAAAGGAACCTTACCTTATAGTCACCATCTGAAAAACATCAGCATCATCTGTGAATAATGGCTCTGGCGCTGCGGGCTGCAGATCAAGCATGCTGAAAATCTGGGAGCCTTCAAACAAGCTGTGATTCTTTTTCGCCCAACACAATGCATCTGTCAAAAAACAGCAACATTTCTGTTTTGTAAAATATCCCTTTTGAATGAGCAGTGCCCCACTATACCCCAACACCCATGGCTGTATCTTGTTTTTCTTCTGAACTGTAGTGCAGTTATATATCATAAAGAAAGCAGTCCAATAGCCATCCTGTTAATATTTGACATTTCTGCAGTTCACATCCAGTGCCGGTGTTTCTTGCCAACACAGAATAAGTGTGATCAAATTCAATTGTAGCTGATTATAAAAGTGAGATGATTTCGATATCGTTCTATTAGAAAAGTGAATGTTAATATAATAATGTTGAGATTTGTTTTTAACTGAACACTTTAACAAACACTAAGTCAAATCAGCAGTAAAACCTGTAATGGTTGTTAAACTGTTAAAAAATAGCATAGTTTACTTTCAATTGTGCTAAAGCAACGTTATGCAACTATTTCACTATGCAACCGCTTCAAAATCATTTTGAGGGTACACTGACTTGTTTTGGTTGCTCCCTGCTTCCACGCTCTGCTCCTGATCTCCTGCTAGAAGAGCTGAACGATAGTTAGGCCCAGCAACAGTAACCCCAGTAATCATCTGAAAAGATGGAGAAGTAACAAACAAATCAGTGAGGAAACTTCAAATATCACAGTTTTAAAACTGAGTTTGGCTGAGTTTGTTTCAGACACAGCCCTTCTGGGTCTGAACACACACGTTACATACACACACGTTTCAGTTCAGAGCTTCGGTCAACAGATAAAACCAAAGACTGCATAGAGATGGATGACATGATAGCTCATCCAAAGCATCTGAGTCTCCACCTTCTGGCTGACTGCAGTATAGGTCATAAATCATTAGTCTTTAGTGTAGTTAGTGAAGAGGACAATGGCCAAACTAAAACCCCTCAAAGTACACATATACAATGAGTTTAGTTTTAATTAGTTATTTGATGCTGTAAAAACAAGGTGAAACATTATGATTGATGGTTGAGACTAGCTGACTAGGCGTGACCCCATCCCCCAATCATTACTGCAGACTCCGCCTCCAAAAGACGCTGGCGTTCGGATCGCGGAGAGCTTAGCTTCATGTCTCGATGGTAGGAGGAAGTGGAGACACATTGTGCATCTTTCTATAAAGTCTGAGGTGAAAACAGCTTAAGTCAGTCTCTGAACCCTTCCAGGATGAATTACCACTTGTGGTCACAGAGGTTGCTGTTGCTCAGCAATAGTTACATAGTGTTGCTTTAATATTTATTATTTCTTACAGCACAGTTAGTCTGACTCCCTGGATGTAGACTGTGGATATAATATCTACCATTAGGCGCATCATTCTGGTGGCCCTTCCACTTCTCTTTCAATCAGTAATCAGAAAATCAGTAAAACTGTGAGTAGGGTTTATTGTGCAGCCCAGCACTCATAATAAGTCAGGGCGTACTCTTTGGCATTTTTAACTAGATGATGACACAGACTCTGTGTCTCAATTTTACAAATAAAAAGCACTAAAAATTATTACATCGTCTTAAATTCTGCTGTGGTCTTGATGGGAACGTCAGCATTAAAGGTCACTGCAAAAACTTTTCCACTGTGCCAGACTGAGGAGGAATTATTAGTTCCGGTTGTTGTGCTGCGTCATTAGACTTTGGATATGCTTAAAGTTAAATAATGCCAGCCTGCTTGTGAGTTTATGAACATAAGGAAATGCAAGGTGAACAATAAGACATTGCTTCTAATGGAAACTGACATGTGTCTTTCATTAACTTGGGACATGGGGCTCAAGGCGATGGAGTTTAGAGGACAACCATGTGTTAACTTGTAGTACTAAGTATATTTTCAGTTTGGATGGGTATTTCCATCACACGTTTAGTCTTAAATTGCATCACTAGTAATCGCAAAAGATCTCAAAAAGCCTTAAATTCACTTTGTATATAGCTGCAGACACACTGCAAGAGCCACATCTGAGCTGGCAACAAACACACTGAAACTGGTAATGACAAAGATTCAAATCTCACCACCCATGTATAACATGCCCCCCCCCGTTCCACCAAAACAAGTTCCCCCACGACGCTATTTCACAGGAGCGCAGCGGCCAACCAACACAAATGTGACTGATCAACAACAACAAAAAAAACCAAGCCAGACAGTACTAATAACAGGACAACAACACAGTAAACTTTTCACAATGTGCAGAGGATGTTGTGTCTTTGCAGACTAATTACTGTGTAGCGTCAGTCAGTTTGAAAACTCGGAACTTCCTGGAAGATTGTAATAAAATAAGCCAATAAAATGAAATTGAATGAAATTAAACTACTTCCTGTTTAACTACAGTTTGATGATATTTCTCTTTAAAGTTGCACACATAAAAAAGCTTTATCCGTGCACTCTGGTGAGCTGGTCCTTCACTACTGCAGAGTGTGGTGGGATACGTTCTACATTTGGATTTGGTAAATATGTAGAGTAACATTTGATTTAACCTGTAAGCATTAGACATAGACATCAAACATATACATTTTGGACATACATATTACTTTTTGATATCATCTATTGATTTCCCACAAATTAATAGAAGTGTATTTATATAGCTACACTAAGTATGTTTAGTTGTGTGCTCAATGTGAAATGTGTGGCTTCTTGAATTTGTTTAAAAACTGTATAATTAGTATGAGCAGTCATCGAAGCTTTCATGGAAACAGAATAAACAAACTAAGAAAAAACTTAGAGTTAAAGCTTTTAAATAAAAATCTTGATCATAGAGGCATTAATAAATGATAATCATGACAATTATAAATAAAGTGAAGAAGACCTACCCAAAGCAGAAGTGACAAGAAAAAAAATCAATAATAAACATGATCCTACTAAGTTCAAGATATTTTCTGTTGAGGTTTCTGTGAAACATAAAATTATGACTGTGAGATAATAAATCTTGAAACTTGGGAATTTAGAGGAACATTTACAGGCAATTAAATTTATTGAACACTGGGTTTTGCACACATAATTTCAAGGGCAAAAGAAAATCAGGAAAATTGTGAGTAGGGTTTATTATGCAGACCAGCACTCAGTTTTAACTTGATTATGACACAGACTAAAAACTCTATGAACCTGAAGGACTCTGAAATGAACTCTAAGCACTATATGAATAAGGATGACCTGCTGTACGGCAAAAACATTTATTGTTGCCTTCTTTACATTGTGCAAATGTACGAGCCAGGTGCAATATCATGCACAACAGATGTAAAGTGCAGCTTTATGCTTAGCAGTGTGGATTTGAGACTGAACCTCAAACAGCCCTGTGGCAAAAATAAAGAGGTGGCAGCAAAATAATAAATACTGCATGATGAATACAGTTGAGCACAAGAGGTAGGCTAACAAGTTCAAACCTCACTGAAATGAGATGAGAGGGCCAACCAAATCCCAGTTTACCGCAAATTAATAAAAACATTCTTGGCAAACGCACTTGCTATGGCCACCATCTTGTGGCCGTCCAAGAGTTTCACCTCGAGCGGCACTGTGCGACTGCTCACGGCTGTCCCTGTAAATCATGGCCGCGGTTCAGAGGAAAAACCACACAAAGAAGCAGAATCCTATTCCATCATCGCTAGCAGTGGTGACTGGCTGCTTTGAACTCTAAATTTTCAAAGTAAATGCTTCAGCCACCACGGGACGCTTAGCTAAGAGCATCAAAGCTGCGCCTAGAGGCACGGGCTGGGACAGACGGTGGCTCCCTTCATGGCGGACCGTCGGCCTGATTCCATCATCCGACCGCTCCGCAACTGATCCTGAGATCTAACTTTTGTTCCGCGGTCTGTGACCTCTCTGAGGAAGAACCACCGGTCGCTTATAAACAAAATAGTCGAACAGATTTCATCTTAAATCCCATTTGTTATCAAAAATGATTAAATGCCAAACGATCGGTGGTGTTTCCAACCAATTTTCATATATTTTCTTCCATGCGTCAGTCCTTAAGTGCCTTTTGTTGTGTGCCACGTTTTGTTGTTTGTTAGTTTAATTTAGTCTAATCTAATCTGTTCTTATCTAAATGTATATACACAGCTGCTCCCACATCAGCCCGACGTTTCCATTGCAGCTCCCTGGGTGTTATTGAAGCTGCTTAGAAAACAAGGCTTTCGCAGCTAAAATGTGTTTTGTGCATTTTTAATAGATTCGTACGTCTGGTGCTTAAGAATCGCTCCAGTGTGATTTGGGTTTGATACAATTACCATCCACTTAAAGTTTATTTTGGAGACTTTAATTGTCTCAGTAAATGCACTTTAGATGCTAATATGAGTGCTTAAACTTTTACATTTAGATCAACAGTGCCTTCTTCATTTCATTACCTATATTTACATTTGTGGAGAAACGAGACAGGAAGTGTCTTTAGTTCTGTCTGTCTCTCAAATTTCCATATTTCCCTCTCTGAAGTAAAACTTTGAGCCCAAAACAAATATCCTCTGCAGTTCCAAGAATCAGCACCTCTTGAAATTACACACAAATCAAGATGCATGATGCAAAATAAGTTGCGCATATTCCACTGTTGCGGTTTTTAAGCTACCTTTCTAATTTACATATTAATATTTCTGATTGAACAATTGCAGCGGTCCCATGTCCCAGGTGGCCATGTTAACAATATGCCACATGGGATTTAAAATGATTTTGAGGAAGAGAAAATTATCACCCTTTGGAACATTCTTTGCATAATTGCCCGCAGGCATATCTATGGAACACACCAGCGTCTTCTTAATAATACATTTTCTTTTGGATTTGGGCAGTCGAGGCTGATTTGCAGTCATTGTGGTCACGTCATTACAAATTATTTGACAAAACATGAAATGTGGCCTGTTATTCAGAGGTCTGAGACCAGGTTAAGTGCTGTCCGTTTGGTGCATAACCATGATTTAGTATGTTGAGGAGATGACAGTTCTGCAACACAATTGTCAGCCTATGTTAACCTGAAGGTTCAGTGCCATTACATTCCCAAGAAGAACAGAGCTGCTGCTCCTCACCCCGTTAGAAAGACTGGATTCTTACTGTTGTTATAACGTTCATGGGAATGATTGATATTTGTATTCATAATGTATACCTTTAATTAGGTATGCAGCATTGTTAGTGGATTAGTATTTATTATCATTGTGCACAAGATATAGAACGCTACATGCACAGAGGTGACTGAAGCTTGTGGCTAAGCCACACACAGTCTGCACAGTCAGTGTTTCCCTTACATTTGTTTTGTTGCTAATTATTTTTGATTGATTTTATTTCATTTATAGCTGGGTGCTGTTTGTTATGGGTTTGTTTATGCTACAGCAGAGACAGGGACATTGATTAGGCCTGACGCCTTTTCTGTGCCCGCAGTACACGGTGTATGGGAGGAGTGGTCACCGTGGAGCCTGTGCTCTTTCACGTGTGGCCGAGGGCATCGCACTAGGACTAGGATGTGCGCCCCTCCCCAGCACGGTGGCAGGGCCTGTGATGGACCTGAGACCCAGACTAAGCTTTGCAACATAGCCCTATGCCCAGGTATTATCTCATTGCTCCTTAAATGCATTTAAAATAACAATATCAACTGTTATTACTAAAGGAAAAATATAAAAGATATAATCACAG